ACAGCCTTTCAATATAAGTTCATCAGTCTAGGCATAGGTAAGGAGAAGTTAGATATGGTGATGTTGTTCAAAAGGCTGCAGCCACGGCATGGGGGCAGTCATTTGTGGCAGATTTGAGAATCCTGTGCGGTAGGGGGGACTGCATTAAGGTGTGCCTTTGATAAGAGTGTTGGTTTACGCACGAAAAACCAATTTCCGAATTATATTGGCCTCTGCACAAATCTAAAAGTGCTGATTTACAAAAATCCATTCTCCGTTAAAGAGAAACTGTTGTTGGCACATAAAGATACGGTGAATGAGCAAATCTCTTATAGAATGTGATCAGATGTCGATGATATCTATGGATGTCGCGTGTCTGCATGCTTCCCAAATGTTTGTTGAGTCATATTTTTCCAATCAAAATATATGACAGTACATTATCTAAATCAACGTCGTTTCCTAAAAGGATGAATTTTTGTTCTGCAAATCGAGGCTTGCTTGATTCGGCTTTTGCTGCGTCGCCACTGTTGATAAATTTTAAGCAGAAAACATAGATTAATTTTTGTGGTGGGATTTCGGGATAAGATGTCAAGCACGGCTGTATATTACAATGTCCACTGACATAAGTAGCGGTATTGTGCATGGGCAAAGGTTAGGGCAATACGGCTCGTGAATGTTTGGTAGCAAGCAGTCAGGCACGAGGAATACAGAGTAAAATGAAGGCAGAAATTGACGGCTGTCAAATGAAGAAACGAATATAATGAATAATCATCAAGGTATTCGCGTATGAGGGATTATCCTTTTCTCCAACTATAATCTTGGGCGATTAACCTTGAAACAGGCGCATCAACAATGGCGTATTTAGGCCCTGTTTTAAAGAGCATACATGGAGGAAAACTTTGGTATATCTAAGGACAAAATTTCTGGAATTAAACACCGTCTTCTCCCTTCCGCTGTGTTTCGACAATCATTTCTTTTAAAGTTATTTATTGACAACGGTCGATGGTGATGAGAAAAAATCAAGTAGAAATTAAGACCAGATGACTTGGGCCAAAGTTTGCATCAACGTCATCAATTGTGTGCTGAATCGCCATAGCGAACTGGAAGATTATTTTTGCTTCTTACAGTAGGTAGATAGCACGCTCGAAAAAATGCTTTTAGTATTCCCCATATTAGCACAAGATTCGTGTGGCAGTCGAAAGCGAAGTTTGGTGCCCGATCTGTACAAAGAACCAATGCCTACTGTGCTGCACTCAACGCCCTCACTATGAATGTCAACTGACCAATCGAGGTCAGACATAGTGAGTACTTAAGCGGTGGAAACTGAAGGGTCTTATTAGCACCAAAGTTCCTGATCTCGAACAGTTTGAGGTGAGTTTGTGCTTCTTTTGGAAAGCATCTGAATGAACCTTATGCGTATAAAAACCCCTTTCAATCGAATGCTTTTATTCCTTCCCATGCACTCCATGCTCTTTTACAGCTCTAGATACAAACACTGACGTGATGAAGGCCTTCTTGATCGCTATACTCCTCATCATACCGTTCATACTTGCTGGTAGGTGTCCAGGCAACAATGATTACCATTATCTGAATATTCATTCTCCGTTATGATAATTCCTACTCACTTTGTCCACTACCAGATGCCAATCAGACGGTGCCAGATTCAAATGCAACCACGAACGCAACGGACGGAAATTCCGCAGTCACATCAACTATTGTTCCCACAAATGCCGGTGGGAATGACAACACTTCCAGCAGTGATAACTCGCAGTCTGTTGTGACCACGTCCGTTGCTTCGTCTCTCTCGACAGCAGAGTTCTGCCTCATGCACCTTCTGCTTGTCCTGTCTGTCAAGCTCTTCTAATTCAAACATCTGTATGAACTATTCTGCCCACTGACCTCTAATAAACGCGTTTAACTAAGACTATGCATTTATATCGCTTCGTCAATTTAAAGTAAAAGCGTGCGCAGTGGGCAATATCACAAACACAAACCCGAGTTCGAGGCTCGGGTGTTCCACACTTCGGGCTTGGGTATGGCTGGCTGACGACGGCTAATAAGCCAGAAATGGCCATTCCAGTATCCCTTGTCTTTGTCGGTAGTACCATTCTGCCTATATATCATGCGCCGCTGTGCGGCTGCTGGTTGGGCTCGAGAGAGAGTCCATAAGGCACAACGGAACGAGTGAGTTCCGTATGAACGATCGGTGAGCGCCCCCTAACATTGTATATTCCCGATCGAAAACCGACAAGGCAACGGGCTCGTGGCCCGGTGAGTAGAGGCGTTGACTTCTAAACCAACAGGTCGCGAGTTCGAGGCTCGGGTGTTCCACACTTCGGGCTTGGGTATGGCTGGCTGACGACGGCTAATAAGCCAGAAATGGCCATTCCAGTCTCCCTTGTCTTTGTCGGTAATACCATTCTGCCTACAAACCCTATAGTCTAGGTTAGAGTCGTCGCTTGAAATGAGTGGAATTTACGTTTAATAAAAATGAAGTATATATAAAACAAAAGACGCTTAATTTTCCATAAAACAAGATCCACGGGTATGAAATATTGCGACGGGTCAGCATATCTTCTACATGTACTCGTTATGGTTCGTCACACGCTTATGTCGTATCAATGCAATAGGTCCACTTGAATTAAAATGCCTATAATAATCGTGGTCTTGTTACGCCTCACTGTCGCATTGTGACCAGATTTACGCTAATGAAAAAGACCTACTGCCTGTTCGTTCTTTCATAAGCTGTTCGCCCCCACACCGTGATTGAGATTTTCATATTGGTG